CTACATCTATATAAAACCTCAACCGTTCATTTTCACTTTCAATGATTCAAATTTATTTGTATTTATTAAACATAATGATTTTTTTTTTTTTTTTTGCTAAAAAGTTGTGACAAATTTCAATCATTAAAAGTGAAAAGATGAATGGTTGAAATTTTGTATAAATATAAAGTGTAAGATTTATATGTGAATGAAATATATATATATATGGTGGATTGGAGGACTTGGCATACTAACAACCTACAATCAAGAATCAAAGCACCTAATGAGTGAAATTCGTAATTGCAAGAATCCAAAAGCATTTTAGCTAATTTTGAATCAATTTCCAAAATTAGGTTAGAGATTCCCTAGCTAATAACCAATTCCAAACCATCTTTAATAGCCCAAAGTTTGACAGGGAGGCTTGTAGCCCTGCCCACTCTTTTAGAGAAACCAACAATCTAGTTGCCAAGTGAAACACAGATGATTCCTCCAACACTTGCTGGTCTTGGATTTCCAAAAGCTTATCCATCAGTGTTGAGTTCGAAGAAGCCACTTGGGGATGGAGTCCATCCCGCATTAATGACCTTAGAATTCCTTTTGAAGTGTCTAGGAGGATTATGGTTGAGGAATTCCTAAGCTTTGTTAACTGTAGTACCTCAAACTTTTGAAGCAAGAATGTGTTTATTGTTGCAAGGAGCAGGTTTTTAGAGTAGCAAGTAGAAAAGGAGAAGAAAGTACTCCAGTTCTTAGCAAGGGGAACATTGTTAAAACTATAGCAATAATCAGTTTTAAGCCATTCTTTAAAACCCAAATCTTGACATTGAGAATTAATGCTATGAAGGGTAAAGAAAGTCCAAAACAAAGTAGAGAACTGACATTACCTGAACAAGTGATTATAGTTTGAGGTTCTCTTCTACATCTTCCAGAAAGATTATCAAGAGCAAGACCCCACTAAGCTAAAGTATCTAAAATAATGATCCTCCCAAGAGACAACAACCATAAAAAATGTTAAATTTTAGGTAAAGTGTGTAGGTCCAAAGATCTCTCTAGTCTGTCCAAATTTTTTGCTATGTAAAAAGCAAATCTAGAAAAAAGAATACTAGACTAGGAAGAATTCCAAATAAGGTTATCTTTCGCATTACCATGTCTTTGTAAATAGATGGCTTGAATTTTTCTAGTCAATTATAAAGGTAATGGGTAAGAAATAGCATCCAAATTCCACCCACCCCCTAAATCAATAATATCACTCACTATAAGTTGAAGATCACAAGGTCCTAAAGGCCCATAAAATATGGTGTCAAAAGGAACACTCATGGTTCACTTATCTCTCCAGAAAGAAATGACATTAATCGATATACTTTTTAGTTTAATACTACATAATGTATTTATTAAAAAATTATTATTATTTTATTTGTAATTTTAAATAAAAAATTTAAAGATAAAACATACATGTAATTGTAAAAATTAACTAAATTAATTGTACTTATATTATATTTTAATAATAAAACTAAAAATATATCAAATAATCTATTGAATCAGAAAGTGTATATAATTTTCCCAAAAAGAATTTTATTACCTTTATGAGGTAACCAAGCAATACCTCTATCAAAGATGTCTCTTCCTTTGCAATATCCTTACAAATAGGAAAAGCATTTTAAAGGTAAAACTAGAAATTAAATTATTAAGATTCATCTGGTTCGATCTAGCTTTTATATATGTAAAGAGAGAGAGATTTAGTTATTTTGACTTACATAATAAAAAAAAACTCTTCCTCATTTCTTAATTTTATCTAACCCACATTATGTAGTTAAAATTTAAAATCTCTTATTTAAAAAAAAAATTATTAATGAACAACTCTAATTTATTTAATTTTTTTTTTTAAGATCAGTTCGGTTTTCTTTAAAAAAAAATACCGTATTCTGGTCTGGTCTGGGCTGGTCTGGTCCGGAAAGGCAGGTTTGCATCAGTTACACGTGTCGTACTTGTGGGCGAGAGATGATGTTTCTGACCCGCCAAATTGCGAAACCGAGGCGCGCCAAAATGATGACACCTTGGAGCCAAAATCGAAATTTTATTGAATATATGAAAAAAACCCCTGTTCGGATTTCTCGTCATTTTTCCTACGTGCACCCAAATCAAAGCGCCCCCAAATCTAGCGTCACTGTGTCGCTTCCTGTTCTCTTCTTCCCATTCTCTCTGAGCAACGAAATCTAGGGTTTTTCTGCAAAAATCTTGTTTTTATTTTCTAGGGTTTAGGGTTTGTTTACTTTGGCAGCAATGGGGGACGGACAGGCGGTTGTTGGAGTAGAAGATTGCTGGAAGGATCCGAAAGTGGACAGCCAAGATCAACCCAGGAAGACCCAGAAGCGAAAGAGAGGATCTTGGGTTTTTGAGGGTTTGAGCAGTGAAGAGAAAGAGTCCAGGATCAATGGGTTCCAGAAAGAAATTGAGGGGCTTTTTGGGTATTACAAAGAAGTAATGGGTGAAAAAGTGGGGTTTGGTTTGGGGTCTGATCTGGGGATTGTTGACTCTGGTTCGGTGAATGCAATGGTTGCGGTTCTTATGGAGGAAAGTGACTTGCCACTATCGAGACTGGTGGAGGAGATTCATGGTAGGATCAAGGAGAAGATGGGAAATTTGACTCTACCGGCGGTGAAGAGTGCGGTGTTGTTTGTAGGTCAGAGAATGATGTATGGAGTGCCCAACGAGGATGTTGATGTGTTGGAGGATGTTACTCCCTCCTGCCTATGGTGTTGGGAGGTACTTGTAGTGTCGTTTCAATTTCTTGTCTTTCTTCTTATTTTATCATGTCTATCATATGCATTTTGGTGTTGGGAGACGCATGTGTTTATAGGATTAGTTTATATAGGTGTCTCCATTGATGTTGATTGTTTATTGTCCAATAAATGGTCTTGGTGCATATGGTAAATGTTTAATTTGTGAAAACGCCTTACGAGGTTAAGCTGAAATTTGTTACAAGACGTGGTGCATCTATCTTAATTTTTGTTCTGTTTTTGGATTTAGCCTAAATGTTATTGTTGTTAATGCAGCTTCACAAATTGACAGTCTCCTTTGGTATCATTGTCTTTGAGGATCATTATCTCTTGTTTTGATATTTCTGCCCTAGCTTATCAATCCCCATAATATAAATTTCATTAGGTTTATTGACTGAATTCAATCCTTCCATGGTAATAATGAGGTTCGAAACGCAGCCCTCTAGTAGCTGTAACTACTAACTGGGCACACTTGCCCACATGAGCTACATGCCCAAGTGCATTTATTGCTCCCTGTTTAGTATTTTTAATTTATGCATTGCTTATTTTATAGATAAGAGATGCAAAGTTCATGCGAAAATCTGCTCGTGGAGCACTGAAAATCCGGCGCACTTGTCGGAAGAAGATCCATGAAAGAATTACTGCTGTTTCAAGTAAATATATTTTTCTCTACTTGTGCTTCTGCTTTTAGTTCCTCTTTTTGGGTGTTAATTCATTAATTCTTGGCGCTATTGTACATTCTTGTAGTTGAGTCAAATGTAAATTGTCATAGACTCACAGTAGCTGCTTTCTTCTGCATGCTAATTCAAATCAGCTTCCTTTTTTGGTAGTTTATTTTTCCTGGTCAATAATTCAGAGCACAATGCTGGTACTTCTGATGGTTATGGGAAATTGTCTGTAGATGAAAGTCTGAAACTTTTGTCAGATTGGATTTGTTTAAGATTTTGCTTTTTCACAACACCATTCTTCTCAATTAGGAGGCCAATCTGAAAAGTAACCATTCTATCTTGTTGACTAAAATATCATTCAGTATTGTAATTTTTGAAAGGACCCAACAGCTGAGGAAAAAAAAAAAATCTAGATACCAAAGATGGCTATCATGGTAAAACATTAATTCCCAGGATTATCGATGCATTCAATATGGGAAATCTCTCTTTGATGGTGCATTACTGAATGATCTTGAGCTTAAAATCAACAAGATCAATCACTGATTGTAATGTCATATTGTATTTAATTTCATAGCTATCTTTCTTATATATTTGAACATGCTTTGACATTAACTTGGAATTCTCTGATTATTGATTTAGTGATTTAATTGATGAGTTGAATGGTTGGTGGTGTTCAGGACTCTGTTGTGTGGGAACTGGCAGAAATTCTAGGCAATTTTTAAGTTATTATGATGACGTATGCTCTTTGTTCAGAAGTTTACTCATTTTTTTGTCTCATTACAGAAATGATAACTGCATTAAAGAGGTCGGAGAATGATCTGTCCTACAAAGATGATCTGACCAAAGCATCAGAAAAGCTTAGTAAAGTGTCTAAGGAGGCAGATATTCGTCTGTTAGTGCATAACATGTTAAAGAGGAGTGGTCCAGATGTGTATGTTGCTGCAATGACTTCAGTACATTTCTTGCTTGATATTTGATTTCCTCTGATTTCTTTTTCTAAATTTTCAAAGGGTTGAGAAAGAAGCAAAGCAGGAAGAGAAATCATCAATTAAACAATTGGAGAAAAATAAAAGAGAAGCTGAGAAGGAGAAGAAGAAAAGGGACCGTGAACTTCAAAAAGAAATGTTGCAAAGTGTATGAGCAAAACTTTCAAGTTACATTCATGCCACTTATATTTTATCTGTTTGTCTACTGAATGTAGAATAGACTTCTAGGGTTATGAACTATGGGGAACGTTTCACGCATTTAAATGGCTAAACATGCCTTCTTCCACAGAAGGTCATTTCCTTTTTTGATTGGACAAAACTACTAGGTAGTTACCTGCAACTGGTGATCCTTGCTGCTTCTTTGATACATAGAACACTTTAATGGTTTTAGGAAAAGGAACAAAAGCGGTTGAAGGAAGCTGCAGAAAAGGATGAAAAGCGCCGTGAAAAGGAGGAGGCTGAGATGAAGAAGCAGCTAAGAAAACAGCAAGACGAAGCTGAGAGAGAACATCGACGGCGAGAGAAGGAAGAGGCTCAAATAAGAAAGCAACTGGACATAAAAAGGCAGGCTTCTGTCATGGAACGCTTTCTTAAAAGAAGTAAAACTTCACCAATCCAGGTTGATAATACTTCTACTAAACCAGTCACATCCAATCCATCAAGACAAAAGAGTGAACAGGTGCCTGAAGCAGTTACACTGTCAATGGATTCTGTTCTTTCATCTAATGATCAAGTTAATGCCGATGATCTTCGCAAGTAGGTTTACTTGTTTTGATCAACTTTGCTTTGAATGTATTGTGCTTGTTTAGTGTTTATTTTGTTTTAGTCTTTTCATTGTCTCACATAACATTATTTGCAGATTGCACTTGTCTTCTTGGCATCACATGGGTCATTCTCTTCGTTCAAATAGAAAACAGTGTTGGGGCATGCGCAGGAAACCTAAGACCGAATTGTTTAAGGAACTTAAGCTAACTACTAATAAAGGACCCTATTTTAGTGATGAGTCAGGCATTGAAAAGCTTGTGGATGGATGGGGATCATGCCTTTCTGATGCCAATAATTCATCTCCTGATGTTAAAAAGTGCATTGGGAGAAAGCAGTTGTTGCAGTTTAATGAGAACCATAGACCTGCATTTTATGGTATTTGGCCTAAGAAAAGGTAAATTCTGTCATCATGTTTTTGTCGCCTTTTTAACTGAGGCTGAGTTTTCATCTACATAGAAATGTAGTTACTTTTTTTACATACAATAGAAATATAGTTACTAACAGAAAGGAGATTATCTTTAAATGAATTATTGATGAGTTACATGTTGTTACCTACATTCTCCAGTTACCTCTTGAATATATGGGCACTTTTTCCAAATAACAAGGCAATAGATGAATTGTTTTGTCTATGTGAACTGTCACTGTGCTTCAAATTTTGGAACTTCTGTCTCTATTTTATTTATTTATTTATTTATTTGAGCATTCTTCCTGAGTGCCAGATTGCATTATGGAATTAATAATTTGTCTTGTGCTGTCATCTCAGTGAATTTGTGGGACCTCTCCACCCCTGGAGGAAAGACCCAGAAATAGACTATGATGTTGATAGTGATGAAGAGTGGGAAGAGGTATTGTGCTTGTTCTCCAAACTAAAATTTAGATATAGACAACTATGTGGGAAATTGGAAATAAAAATGCCATTTTCCAGGAGGAGCCGGGGGAAAGCCTATCAGATTGTGATAAAGATGATGAAGAGGAAAGTTTGGAGGGGTGTTCAAAAGCTGATGATGATGAAAGTGAAGATGGATTTTTTGTTCCAGATGGCTATCTCTCAGAAAATGAGGTAATTATAATATATATATCTATAGTAAGGATCCACTTATACACAAGTTTTATACATCACACTTACACCAAATCTTGACTATTCATCTTGTCATTTTCAATGGTTGGAATTTATTCACATTCATTAAAAATAATTTTTTTTTTCATTTAAAAAGTTGTGATAAATCTCAACCATTGAAAGTGGAGTGAATGGTTGAGATTTTGTGTTAGTGTATAAGACTTGTGTGTAAGTGGATTCCTATATATATATATATATATATATATTATTCTTTCAAGGTATCTGAACCTCAGAAATACACCTAGTTTTAACTAAAAAGAGCCTTTCAAAGTGAATATATGATTCTTGCATGCAGGGAGTACACGTAGACGGCATGGAAACTGATGTCCCACTAGAGACTAAATGTTCACCCAGTTATAAGCAAGACATGCAGAATGAAGATTTTTGTTTGTTGCTTCGGCAACAGAAGTATCTCAACAATTTAACTGAGCATGCACTTCGCAGAAATCATCCATTGATTATCTTAAATCTAATGCACGAAAAAGCATCATTGTTATCAGCTGAAGATCTCAGTGGCACCCCTAAACTGGAGCAGACATGCTTGCAGGCTTTGTGCATTCGTGGCTTTCCTGGCTGCTCCCCTGCTGAGATATCAGTTGACAAGTTTGAAGATGAGGATCGTGAAGCTTCCTTGTCAAATAGAACTGATAGCATAACACCAATCTCAACAACAGCCAGAGTTCCTGAGTCAGATTTGCCTATAATTGTAAGTTGTGCTAGTGCATTTAATCAGGGAATTAAATTCAAAATTTTCCAGAGATGACAAACTATGGTGTTCACTGCACATACTTTTTAATTGTATCACAGTCTTACATGCCAGTGATGTTGCTCACACATCAGGGGAATTGGAGTTGTTTACTGTGCCACTGATTTTGGCATGAAATTGCAATGATTGGATGCTGCTGATATTCTTGCTGATCTTTTCAGGTCTCTACCATCCAGTCATGTTCACAGAGTATCGTTAAGCTAGTTGACAGTTTGCAACAAAAATTTCCAGCAATTCCAAAGACTCAGTTACGAAATAAAGTGCGTGAAATAGCAGAATTTATGGATAATCGTTGGCAGGTTAGTGAGAAAAATCCAGTTTTGTGAGTGTTGTCTGCTTGTGGCATGAATGAGAATTCAATAAAGTGATTAATTATGACCTGTGTTACATGTATAATATAATTCCCAAGCATTGATCAATCATAAGCCTGCCTTGTTTTTCTTTTTTATTATTTTTTAGTACATCTGATGATGGGCTATGTGCAATAGAGAGGATAGCCCTTCCCTTTTCTCAAATCCCTCCCCACTCAACTCAAGGTTTGAACCTTGGTCTCCAATTTGGAATCTTAGGCTCTTAACCGTTAGGTCATCTCTAGAGCTTACCTGCCTTGGTTTATAGAATGCTATAGTGCCACACTTTGTTTAGAAATTGGCAGTTTGGTTGAATTGACTGTATGCCATGATAAATGAATGTGAAGCAGGGAAATATAATTAATGACTCAAATTGTATTAGATTTTTACACTTACTGCCTTATATTTCACGTATACTTTCTGTCCTGGATTTCTGAAGGAAAACAGTCATGGATAATCGATTTTGGCTAATATTTTGTTGCAGGTTAAGAAAGAAATTTTAGCCAATCTCGGAATGTCAGTTTCACCAGGTATGTCTTAAAACACTGTCTGCATAAACTAGTTTAGTTGACAATCAACAATTTGCTTTTAACAAAACCAGTGTCTTTTTATTTCAATCTGCAGAGAAAGGTGGTGGAAAGACCAAAAGTATTGCTGCATTCTTTTCAAAAAGGTGCTTGCCTCCCGCTGATAAAGATATAAGCTCCATTGAAACCCCTTCCCCACAATTATTGAAACAGGATTCTGCTAACGGGGAGCTCCAGGTGACACATAGTCAGACATAACGGTCTATTCTAGGTTTTCACTTGTTCACAACTTTTGCCCATAACTAAGCTTGTACAAACCTTAATGTGCCCAATGTAGTAAATTTTTTGTTCAGATAACGACATGGGTAAGAGGATAGTGCATCTGTAACAACTTCCTCCCAAAACCAAGACTGACTTTGTGACATAAACTGATGTATATTTTTCTTTCCACATGAGAAGCCATGGCATCTCTAGCCTTCATGTCTGGTTCAGGTGAAGACGTGAAGTCCTTTTATGCACTCTGCCAAGCATATGTGCATATCTAGAATCTAGAAATTGATCAGCATGAAAAGCTCACAATTTTTTCTTCCGGGTCTCTACATATTTAGAAATTGGAACATCAATGATATGCCAGCAGTGGCCAGTGCATTAAAATGAGAGGTTTGGTAAGAGCATGTACAGCTTCTCCCATTGCACACTTACTAAAAGAGAGCTCTTAATTATCTGGCCCCTCTCCCTAGACGTAAATTTTCTTGCGGCGCTGCATGCCGTACTGCTGATCGAAATGCTTTGGGTAACATATCAAAAAAGTGCTTTACTAGTTGAACTATAAAAGGCTAAGTTTTTTTTTTTTTCCCTAATAGTAATTATGCCGATAATATTAATATTTATTTTTAAAGGATGGAGGAGTGTTAATCTTTTTTGTTGAACAAATATAATTTAAGGTGAAAGAAAGGAAAATTTTAGTATAATAATATCATAATTTAAAATTTGATTATTGTTAAAATATTAAATATATCTAACAACTGATTATGAAGTCTAGCGTCGATCTTCAATTCAAACTTTATGTCACAGAGGTATCATCATCACTTTATTTCTTAAGAAGAAGCGAGTCCTTGGAAACCACACGAGTGATTGGGGCACAAGACTTATTCTTTAATGTGCAATCAAATTCATAAAACATAAATCTTACTTTTTATTCGAGTTAAAATTTTTTTTAACTGGTATAAATTTGGGAGAAGAGCAACTTAAACCTAGTATTTAAGGTTCGAGTGCATCTTTGTTAAAGTTTATTATTAATATATAAAAATAGAAATAAATTTATATAAAATATCATTACTTGTAATGACATTCTTTTTTTATATATTTTTTGTACAATAAAAAATAATTTTTTTTTATTTTTAACTTTATTTTATTTTTATATTATGTAATTTAAATTTAAAATTTTTTATTTTTAATAAAAAAAATTATTATTAAATTATTTAAATGATTAACTATAATGCCATTCTATTATCAGAATATTAGAGAGAATTTGTTTATTTGTGTATGCTCTAATGGGAACAGTTTGATTCTGGCCTGGAACAAAAGAAGTCTAGACCTAATAATTTTTCCTCGTAATTATCAAATCTAAGATGGTTCTAGAGTCTGCCAACCATGCCTCTGCGCATTAAGGGCATTGGGTAAGGCCAAACAGTAAGTACTGGTTCGTTAGAAAGTTAACTATTAAGAAAGTTTTTATTGAGAAAATAATTAGAAAAATATTATATAAAAAGTTTTAAAAAATTGTAAAAAAAATTGTTAAGTATTATAATGAAATTTTATTAAAATTTTGTTGAATTATTAATTTCATTATTTTTGGTAAAAATTAGTATAAAGAAAGTGTTTCCCCAAAAATTCTCTCCTCTTGGTCATCTTGTAGTAGATCAACACAAGCATGTCACTAGCTTCACTTGAAGCAAGAAAGATGAATTTTCTTAACGATCCCCTTCTTTTAAGCAGTTGACCTCCATGTAGAATGGCTAAAAGAACTTTAATTATATGTTGAAGATGCATCTCAGATTAAATCAAACAACGTTGCAAGAAAGGGGTATGGTTTCTTGCAAAATGAGCTACATATTTGCCTTAAATAAATCTAAGGACTTCTCACATCTAGAGCCACAATAAAATTTGTTAATTAAATAGAGTAAGAAAGAAAGAGAAGGCTAGCAGAAAATAAGAGTGTATTGCAAAATTGGAAGGCAGGTTAAGGGTGGAGTGAGCTTTAGATTTTGGCATCGCAAGTAGATTTAATAAGTAACTAATGGTAGATTTTAACTAAACAATTTACAAAAATGTAAATTGAGTGCTTTGAAGATAAAATGAAGTTTCGTAGCATAAAGTAATAACATTGCATTAACTATAACAAAATCTATTTACAAAATTGAAACTTGATTGCATTGACAGAATTGAAATGTATCGACAAAAGTTGTAAAACTAATTTAGAAGAAAACCTATTAAGGTAAAGTGATAGATCCCACATAAAATAATTAAAACTTAAAACTAGAGAGCTTAAGAGCTAATCTCCTAACCTAGAAGCTAATTAAGAGCTTGACTAAGGCACTTTGTAAAGTAGATTGTGTAGTTTTTTGTTGAGAGGGGTAGGCCTTGTTTGAATGTATTGCTTCTTCATTTCTGTAGCTGGTGAATCTCCAAAAAAATGGCTTGTAACCACCCACAACTCAGCTGCAAAAGCATGGTCAAAACTACCTATTCTAACTAGACATATCAGCAATGGATTACGCCAAAAACTACCCCAGAATTTGCCATTTGTCCACCACTTTTCCTAAAATTTAGCTATTATCTTCACTAAAATCAAATAATTTTATATTATTAAAAGATTATTACTAACAACTGTAGATCTAACATTCAACGTAGCAATCATTAGCAAAGCTTGTCATACTCCAAATCACAACAAAATCAAGTCTGATGTGACTTAATCCTAGCCACTTGTTCAATCTAACATGACTTAATCTCAGCCACCTGTTCGATCACATGATATATGGCATCATCTAATAATTTTATAATTTACAATGTAAACATAAAGTTAGTAAAGAAAGTTGTTAAGTGAGTTTAATATAAGATAAGTTATAAAGAAACTTTTTTTCTTTCTAAATAGGTAAAAAAAAAAAAAAAAAACTTCATAGGTTGAGAAAAATGCAATGAAAAATAAATGCTCAAAATATCACTTTTATCCTCTTTTTGTTTGTAGTATTAATGTGTGAAAATACATAAATAGCCTTATAAGAAAAAAAGTTTAGAAAAATTTAGGGGAGAAAGTTGCTCCCCAACCAAACACCCCCCAAATGTGTTAAATTCACATACACTTTATTTATTTTTCTTTATAAACAATAATATTTACTCTCTCGTTCATTTTTAAGAGATTCAATTTGATTTTTTAACTTTTTAGATACAAATTTCACATGAAAATTTAGCATATTATATAAGTGATAATTGGTTTTTTTCTATCAAATAAAAATATTCAATAAGAACT